CCAGAGTGATTATCAGCCTCACAACAAAGCGAGGGAGTGGCGGCGGCGGCGGCGGCGCTGCTGCTTCGAGGAAAGAGGACAGATGTGCAGCTTTAGCAGGACTCAAAATGACGAAGCTGTGCTAATTTTTGAAATTAAGTCATGATCCAAATTTGCAAGATATAATACGGTAGAGTCAGAGGAGGAGATCAACACCAGCTTCATGTATTTGCAGTAAACATTGGCGTCACATAAACACCAGAATCGGGGAGCAGCAGCTTTCCAACAGAATCCACATCCAGCTCTAAATCTCACTAATTATACTTGTTTGTTTAATCTGTACAAAAACCAGAGTGTAGAATTAAAAATAGGTTGTTTTTGAGTTTTTTTGTGAGCATTGGAGATGTTTTAATTAGATTATATTAACTCTGACAAGGCCGGGTTGTGTTAACATTTTTACTTCAGTGCTTTGCGTTAAACTGAGCTGATCTCCAGCACTGGTAGAATGTAACTAAGTATATTTACTGGAGTACTTGTGGTGCTTTATCTGAGTATTTCTGTTTTATGGTACTTTTTACTTCCTCTCCAGTGCATTTCAGAGGGAGCTACTTTCTACTGCACCACCTTCACAGTGAAGATACGACACAGTAAATTACACAACAGGCCTTTAATGGAGAACACGTTAGAGATTTTTCTTCAAACCCTTTTTGGCTTCTGGCGTCTTACAAACAGCACCGTGGAGTCTGAGTCACATTTCATTTTGATGTGTCCCTCTTAAACCTCCCACTGTTTCATTCATTCATTCAATAAATTTATACGGCATCAAAAATCACAGATTAGACAAAAAAAAAATCCTGAAAACAGATTTTCGTGTCAGAACTTATTTCTTTCTTCTTTTCTCCCCTCAGACGTCCCTTTAACCTGCCGATGCTTCAGCGTTAATAGCCAGAAGCTTCTATAAAAGTGAACAACCATATTTCCTTCTTAACTTTCCTCCATCGCAGACGCTTGTGACTGTTTGTTTTAAGTAAAGCTTTCAGAGTGTCAAAGAAACGTTTCTACAACTTTTGATTCAAACGAGTCAAACTAAACAGCGTGTCAGTCCGTAAAGTGAAATATCCAATTTTCAGAGCTCATTTATCTCCAGACAGCTCCGGTTTTTCCCCACCAGGTCACATATTTGGTACACTCCCGTCCCCTTTGGCCAAAACAACCGTCAGCACCTTTAGCTGATGGTTTGCTTGTTTGAGACGCACATGATTTGGCATTCCTGTGAATCGTAGACAGGCCCCACAGGGTAGAAGCATATCTCCTGTTTCTGCAGCATGAAACAGTTTAACGGAGTCTCTGGCCTGCAGGATCTCACAGGACAGGTGATACCGTTTCAGCAGACCTGACTCAACAGTGAGGCAAAGGACAGAAGACTTCTTTTTTTTTTTTTTTGAGGATGACAGCTCTGTTTTCTCACAGTCGCAGTGACAGATTGGAATTTGAAAAACATGGGAAACTCCAGAAAGTGGAGAGACAAACTGCTGTGGTTTTACACCAGCAATTACAGTCAGTTAACACCCATCTGATGACTGTTTGTGTTTTTATTTACAGAGAACCGGCTCGCCTTGTTAACATACACGAACACACAGCCGCCATTTAAATCACGCTCACCCGGCTCCTCATCCATCCTCGGTCCGTTCAGCTGGTTTGGACGCGCTGGGCGAGTGTGAAACGGCACAAGCGCCTCCAGTTGGGTGGCGGTTCTGGCCCAGTAACAGTAGCACAGTGTTCAATCCAACCGTCCGTGTCAGAGACTTGGGACGATGGAAAGAAAGTTGTTTTTCACACACTGGGCGGAAATACATGGTGACAGTGACACATAAAAGGCAGAGCTGAGGTTTGGAGCTGACGTCATGGCAATCAGCGTTTAAGACGACGGGGCCCTTCAATGAAAGGAAGCCACACAGAGCAGCCCACAAGCATTTCAGTCTGGAATCGGGTACCACAAGTGGTATATGTGCACGCAGACGGGAACAATAGGCCTCCACACACACATGGATGTATGTATAAGAGCCTGCCGGCATTAAAGCCTCTGTGTCTGTAGCGTCCTGCGCTCTCTGCAGCTTCACCTTCGCGGTTCTGTCGCACGACTTTGTGAACCCCTCAAACTGAGCTGGGAGCCTCCAAACTGTATCCTGGACTAATCATGTGCGTGTCTTTTTTAACGTCTCTGTTTAAACTGTTTCTGTCACACACAGGCAGCCTCACACCAAACAGCTCCTCCACCCTTCCTAACACACCCAACATCGCTTAGAAGCCAACCGCCAGATCCCACTTTTCACCGCAGAGCTGTGGATTAGAAAAGAAGGCATTTCCTAAATGGTCTGCGGCTTACGCGATGACATGATTGTCATACAGTTTAATTCCCTCTGTACTCTTCAGAGTCCCGCTCACCTGATGCTACAATAAAGACCAGAGCGAAGGTAAACAACAGTTTTAAAGAAAGGCGAGGCTCCTGTACAGACATGCTCCCGTTTGCAGGCGTTTTGGTTTTTATTGTCAAGATGAAAGACATATTGAAGATTGTTCTGAGCAGCTGGTTTCTAGTAGCTGCTCGCATTCATTTTGTGTTTGTGTGAAAGGTATCTGTAGGTTGATGTGTGTATTACACAACTGAACCTCCTGGTTTTGGCCCAAATCTAACCCCAATAACACTGGAACAAAACCCAGCCATATAAATTACTCCCGTGTCGAACTCGAGGCGGGATAGCTGGCCTCGCGCTGTTTAATGCTTTCAAGGCCGCCGAAAGTGTTGCATAAGCTCCAACCATCTCTCCCCTCAGATCTTTGGTGCATTGATCCATTCAGCGATGTCTGTATAAAGCTGCAGGGCGCGTCTGGGAGTCTGAAAGTTGTGCTGGAGGCGAAAAAAAGCTGAACGCACCTGTGTGAAGGTGGTGGAGCATGAGGGAGGAGAAGAGAAAAGGAAGATGTGGGGGCAGAGAAGTGTGTGTGGATGAAGAGATCAGAGCGATTTTTGTTCACTCCTCATCCGTCATTCTTGCCGACTTTGCTTACGTTTGCAGATAAAAGTCGGGAGGGCGGAGCTTCACGGTCGCTTTGTTGTTGGCTCTTGTATTCTGTGATCCTCTCCACCTGAGGGCTTGGCCGTTAAACATCTTACATGTAGGAGAGAGTGTGCGTGGCATCTGGTGTTTCTTCAAAGAGCGCCACAATGTGAACTTGTTTCTGGTGTACGCCCCTCTAGTCTGCTCGCCACATGAGATCTCGACGAAAAGTGAATTTGTTTAGCAGTCATATCTAATACCAACTCGGAGGAAACATCTCAGAGATGCATCTACCATCTGCACTTCATTGTCAGTAAATATCTCTCTGATATCCATTCCAGACCCAATAAAAAGCATTAGGTTCCTGCCGTAGGAACCTGCAGCCATCAGAACAAACAAGCATCTCGTCAAAGCTCCGTCACGATGGCTTCAAGGCTTCTGCTGGATATCACAAATGGGCGACAGCTTCTTCCTCGTACTGGAAATTACAGAATGGAGTGGAACATTGGGCTTTTGCTGGGGAGGATTTAGTAATTTGCTCTAATGGCTGACACATGTACACGCCATCAGCAGGCCTCCGGCTGTGGAAATCTGTATCTGTGCTGCACGCTGGGATGCAGCACCAGAACACACCTTCAGGCACAACAGTTGGCCGGATAGTCTGGACGGCACACTTGCATGCTTAAATGCCTCCGTATGAATGCGAGCGCGCAGTAATGTACACAAAGACTTGGAGGCGTATGGATGCAAACACATCAGCAGCGAGACGTATGATCCAACCTCCATCCTACATATACAGACACAGTTCACAACTTGCATGTCGTATTTGTTTCCTCAACACTGCTGCTGCCTGTTTGTTTCTTTAATCTCACTGTTTATATTTCTGCGTCCAGACCTGTCAGTATAACTCCAACTGGTGCAATTAGCATGAGGGAAAAGCAAATAAAATGTCTGATGAAAGCAAAGCCTGGATCCTGACCTCACTCTGACTGGATCTGCCGCTCGCCAGCAGACAGTCGCGTCCAGAGCTGTGAATTCCTCAGTGCCAAGCTGGCCTCTTTCTCAATGGATTTACAATGGCTGTTTGTGCCTCCAAACATGTCATTATTCTATATTTGCCCGGGTCATGTTAGAATCCACAGAGACCTTTGAGCGGAAAAGTGCAATCACAGGTTTTGTAATGCTCAACTTTAAAAAGTTTATACGTTTTGTCACAGGAAGAGATTTTAGGACACGTCTACTGTTTGCCAGGAGTTAAATGAAGGGACTGATTTCACTTTCATGTCTTTGCAGTCTGCTGACTGAGCGCAAAGACTGAAAATATGGAAACAACAAGTCTGGCTCTGTCCAAAGGTAACATAATCCATCTTCTAGGATCCTTCAAGCTCACTAATTAACTTTCATATATCTCGCTTGTTTGGCCTGTGCCGAAAATAAAGTGCATAAACAGTCATTTTTACAGCTTGTGGTGGAGTCACTGACCAAAAAATAGCCTTTAACATAACCGCAAACAGCGAACTGTCATTTTGTACTTTGGTTTTTGCACCGCGGGACACAATGTGTTATTAAGGACAGATTGTGTTACCTTTGAACAGAGCCAGGATGGAGGCTTCCCACTCTGTTCAGTCTTTGTGCTGCTACCTGCCTGCTTCTTATTCACCGTACAGATAAAAAACTCATCTAACTTTTAGATGAAGTGTTTTTCCAAGAAACTTCAAACTTATCCTGAACCGCGCAGTCTTTGTTTTCTCTGAGGATATCAAGGAACGGCGCTGAGTAAAGATAAAAAACATAAAATTCTCAATTAGCCATCGCAGTGGGTTTGCCAAGTGCATTTATTATCTCCGTCTGAAACACTCTGTGCTGCAGGGCTGAGTGTGTGAATGTGTGTGTGCACCTCTTTCAGACAGATTATCGACCCTTTACCTTCTTCTTTTTTTTTATATCCTCTCATCCATTCAAACAGCGTCCTTGGTGTGTTAGTCAGGTTTACAGTCTGAACTTCAACTGGCTGCCAGAAGAAACTCTATACCTGCAGAATGAAGGGAACGTCCCAGCGCTGATCCTTCCTCTGCAGCCCCAAAGGTGACACACTCACATTCTGTATTTATGGGAACAGAGCAGTTCCTCACTTCAGGCCTTTTGTGTTGGAAGTTTGTGTGGAGGGAGCGCGTCGCCGGCTTGGTGTTGAGGCTCAGGGTGCAGGCAGAGTACAGGAGGTTTTAGATAGACATCCTCAGGGCTTCTGGTATTCACAGGGCTGACTCACACATCTATCATATGGGTTCAAAGGGGCAACCAGGATTTTCCTCTGTGGGGTCAGCTTACATCTGTGAGTTTTCATGTTACTAAGCTCCAAAAAAAGAGAAAAACTGTGCTGCTTTGTCAGATATTCTGTTACAAAATAGTCCCTTTATACATATTAAAATCACAAACAAGCCAAACAGAGAGATCACGTTTTCCTAATTCCCATTTTAATTAAAAGCTGTTTAATTATGTTTAAGTGCATTTATCTATTTATTTATTTTGCCTCATGCAGGATCTCAGAGCTTCTATATGCATCTCTGTACGTATGAGATGTTTATCATAAAGCATCAGGAGCGAAGGGAGGAGACTTGTAGAAAAAAAGGAGGGTGGGCGGAGGAGAAGCGGAGGAGAAACCTTGAATGAGAGCTTACAGGAGCTCAGAGCGCACAGACCCAACAGGCTGCCAACTCTCAGCCGGATGCATAAAAACCACTCATATTTAATGACAATTTTTTTTCACGTTAAAAAATATCTGAAATAGATTTTTTGCCAACTTTACAAATATTATGACGCTGACTTTTGACAAATCCTCTGTGCCACTCCGTGCCTGCTGAGAGAAGCTCTCCATGTGATGCCTCACCTTTGCGCAACAGGTTCTGGTCCACACATTTAACCTTGTCAGCTCCATGTAGGAAGAAGAAGAAGAACATGCTGTCACCGTTTTGGCCCTTTGGCATCGAGCAGGAGATCAACTCATGGGATGTAGTGGATGCAGAGTCAGGTTCAACTTTGGAAAGGCGCTGTCCAAAGTCTCGGTGTTCTTTACCATGGTCCTAATCTTCACCTACTTCTTCTACTGCCTCACCGGGTTCTGCGATTCGGTTCCGAGGACTTTGTACAGTCAACGAGCCCTAGACGGGGAATATGACACTTTGGACGATCGTCGCCGCATTTTGGAGGAGCGGCGACCGCGTCTCTTCCCCGACGCGCCGCCTCAGCGGAACCGCACAGCCTCGGCGGACGCACAGCAGGTGGACGCAGCGGGACAGCTGGCGCAGCGCATGTTGGACAGCGAACCGGAGGGCGCCCCGAGCAACGGCATCCCGGTGTCCAACACGTTCGGGACCAAAAGGTTCCCGCAGGCGATCATAATCGGCGTGAAGAAAGGAGGAACCCGCGCCCTGCTGGAGTTCCTCCGCATCCACCCGGATGTGAGAGCGTTTGGCGCTGAGCCGCACTTCTTCGACAGGTTTTATGATCGAGGGCTGGAGTGGTACAGGTAGGCACACACACGCACACCTGCAGACGCGGTTGGCTTTTAGCTCAGTTTTGGCAGGAAAATGACGACTGGGAGGCATTTGGAAAGATTTACGCACCGTTCACAATATGATAAGGCAGGTTCCTCAACTTCAGAGACGCACGTGATGGAGCCAACAGAAACTCTGATGTGCCACTGGTGAACCTATACATCCACAGCTGAATGCCAAAGACATGCTTTTAATTCCAAAACATGTTTTTTTGCACATTATCTTTGGATGTCACCTCATCCAGCGCAGGATGATGCATGATGTGAGGCTGCTGTCACCTGTGCAGATGTGCTGATGTCTGCTGTCAATAGCAGGAACAGACACACTCCGGCTGATTGATGCTTCAGACCAGCTCAACACAAAACTCTCCCTGTGTGCTGCACTGTAGATCAAAGGGCTGGTGGGGTCCCAGCAGACCACTTTGTCATCCTGACAGCCATCTAAACACCATTTATACACTTCAATATGACATCTTGTATTCGCGCTTTGTTCACCATCATTACTCTAATGTGACATAAAGCACATAAACCTGAGTCATACAGTCGGTGATGGCCGTGGTTGCATGTCATAATTTCTCGCTTGTAGGCAGATAACATGTTGATCAGCTACTGTCTGATTTGGGGAGACCAGGCTGACCAGAGCTATCATTTGGGTGTAGTTAAGGCCCTAACAGAGGATTTAGGTCCACATGTAACTGGTCCTGATCATCTCCAGATGCTCTACGAGCTTCTGCTGGACGTGATCCCGGCTGAACTCTCGGCAGTGTGACAGGACAACAGCATTTTAAAGACATGAGAGCTAGAAAGGTGCCGTGAGATCAGAGGAAGATGTCTGACGGGAGGAAGAGCGCTGAGACACCAGAACTCTGATAGCAGGATGGTCCTCTGTGGACTCTGAGGTGTAATTTAATCTTCTCTTGCCTCTTTTTTCCTTCACCCCCTTTGCTGTGTTTTAACTGAGAGCATCAGAACACATGGAAGCAGTTTGGCCTCTGATAATTTTAGCATGCTTCCCTCTTTCTCTCTCTCTCTGCATGCACAAACACACACATGCATGTTATCAGTTTAACTGCTGTTCCCTCGTTTCTGTCTCTTTACACCACATTTGCAGCTCATCCTTCTGCCCACATTCTTTTCTCTCATTTTATTTAACCTTCCCACCACTTTCTGTCCCTGTTTCTGTTCTTCTCTTTTCCCCTCACGACTCCAGCAGACTAGAAGAAGTCCTGATGGAAATACCTGTGGCAGATCTGGTGTTTCCAGGGCATGTTTTTTTTTTTTTTTTTTATGTGTTTCCGTGTGTTTCAATTAGCCTGACTGGTGCTGTAAAGCTGTCGTCTTGCTCATGTAGCACCACTTACATGGCCAGTAAATGTTGGATCAGTCATGCAGCAGAATCTCTGAAACTTAACAACGAAGCAACACGAGATGCAACATGGAGCCGTCGTGAACTTTACCAACCAGGTGACAAGACGTCATTAAAGAGCAGATTTTTTTAGGGTGTTTAAACGGCACACAGTTTGCACATCGCTGCAGGAGAATTACTAATGGATGATGTAAATAGTGACATCTTGTTGATTTCTAGAACACGAGTTTTTCATAGAAGTGAAGCTGACTGAGAGCTGAGGGGGAGCAGAGCAGGAAGGATTAACGCAACAATAGGAGGAGACAAGAGCAACGTGATCCAGGGTGAAATCACTGAAAGACGAGTCCTCTGCTGTCACTGGAGCACAGAAATTGGGGAAAATCGGCAAGTCTGCTGGAAGTCATAGAGGGCAGAAAGAACTTGTCCACGTGGGACGAGCAAGTCCTTCTCATCTGACGCCGGTGAACAGAGGCTCAGATCCCCATCACATCTGGAAAGGAAACTTTGACATTTGATCTCGTTGAAGTTCGTCTGCAGATCATTGCATACATCATTAATTCACAGCAGTTTTCTAATTTATACAGTCACATATGACCTTTGCATTCTTATTGTATGTTGCTGATCATTCTGGAGATAAATAACAACCAGCTGCTGCCCAGCTCGCAGTAACAAATCTAAAAAAACAGTTTGTGCATCATCACAGTCCTTGGATGGAGAAATAAGCACGAACTGGATGAGCGGTCCAGAGATGTGCTCTGTCATATAATGAGTCTTGCTGTCGGCTGAAACGAGGTTCGAGCTGCGTGCTGGAGACACTTCATACGCTCAGCAGCAGCCTCCCGTGCGTGTTGTTCCAGCAGCATTGTCTTCGCCGAGACCACTGCAGGCCTCGTCCATGTGCATTTTCCATCGCATTTATCTGAGCGATCAAGTCGGCCTCGGCTGTCTCTCCTCTCCGCCCTGTCTGTCTCCTCATCCCAGTTTTCTCGTTTGCATGTGTGCATACGAGCCCATTACGGGAATGGAAAAGCCGCAAATAGTGCAGAGAAAATGAAGCAAAGATTTAATGATTTTCTGTGTTGTTTTATGGCTTTAAGGGGACTTCATGGAGTGATGGGTTTCAGATGGGACTTTAGAGCCACCGCAGAGAGCTGAAAAACCTCAGCTTTCCATGGCACAATGGCTCTGATTGTCGCAGCTTTGTCACCGTGAATGAGTAATGAGCAAATTCTGCCTTCTTTCTTCTTGCATGTTCAGTTAATGACACTAAAACGAACACATTTGTTTTTGTTGTTTTTTAAGACATGGATTTGAGAGTCATGCAGCAGAAACCTCCACATGCTCATGAAAGGGTCATTTCTGCATTTCTGTCAGAGGAAAAACTCCAGTTCTCAAGTCTCATCAATATTTTGAAAGCTTATCAATCGGCTGACCTACAGCGTTGACACCAAAGGCCACGCCTGATCGGATTGCTATTAAAATATAGTATAAATCCTTTAAGGGCAGCAGCACAAGGGCAAGCAGAAACGCCAGCGCTGCTGAAAATGACATCAGTCGTGAAACAGGCATAGATTTATGCAAATAAGGGCGCAAAGTGATGACAACAGGTGAAGCTAAGAAAGTATGCTGGAGCTTCGTCTGAGAAAGTAGCAAGAACTGATCAAGTGTATTTTATGTAAATCCTGATCTCACTGATATGCTGGATATTTTATTTTCTTGTATTTAAAAAAAACCTGCAGACTTCAAAATTCACTTTCCTCATTATTCTAACTAAAATATTATAATAAAATGAATTATTACAGCAAAACACTGCATAAACTACAACAACTGTCACTCACTGGTGTTTGGTTCTTTAATTAATGCATTCTGTTGTCAATTATGTATGTTTTTAGATCTTTGCTATCAAATTTACAGACATTTATTTAAACATATCCTCAATATTAGTTAATAACTGGCTAAATTACTTGTTTTACCTCCACTGTGAGCTTTGCTTCGTCAGTTTGATGAGACTTTGCTGCGTTTTTTTATCCTCCTGAGCACTGCTTGTGTTTCATGTCAGAAACAGGAGGGAGGATTCACATACTTAGCATGTCAGTCCGGATTTGGTGAAAGTGGACTTTAATGCGCAGCGTTTTCCAGAGCGAGGGTGATTTTCCCGACACCTCGTTGTGTGTCCGGCCCCAGGGCCGTCAATGATGGCGGCTGATTGGTGTACCAGACCAGGAAGTGGTCTCTCGTGTTGGGCTGTAGTGTTTTAATGGTGGTGGGTTTTGGCTGGAGTTGGGTCTAGGTGGTGTTATAAGGTTTGAAAAGGCCCACGCTCACACCCCATATGGTGGGAATTAGAACAATTTGAGGTGCATTGCGGTCCGTTTTTGGGTGCCTGTAAAAGTTTTGGGAGGTTGTGTCGTTTGAGCCCTGCGTGAAGAATTAATGGTTCAGCTTCAGTCGGCCAAAAGGAAATGTTTCAGATACTTGGTAGTCATGCTCCGCTGCTCTGCCATTTCCACAATAGAATAGCACGAGCCTGATGAGAGGGGAGGATCCGATGGAAACACAACGATGTTGCTCCAGGGAAGCTTTTAAAAAAACATTGTTTTAGCACACAGAGTGAAAAATCCCATGGTTTGAATCGATGGAGTCTGATTCTCACTTAGTGTCTGGGTTCAAAACTTGATGATCAAAACCACCAAACCCTGACAGCTGGCATCAAATGCATCATCGTAGGCTCACGAACTGGTATGAAAACTAAATGTCAACATTTACAGAATGTATTTCCCTTTTGTGATGAACACTGTGTGCAGAAACGAGACTTCCAGCTACATGCTGAACATGCTCACCCTGATGATGCTGGCATGCTGATGTTTAGCAGGTGTAAATGTTCTCCGCCTTACTTTAGACCGTTAGCATGCTAGCATTAGCTTAATTCATCCATCCATTAGTTTTCTTCTGTTGATTCGGGGTCAGGTCGCAGTGGCCCCAGGCTAATCAGGTAATTTGAGACTCTCCTCAGCAAAGGCATCCCTCGGCCAGATGGGATCTATAATCCCTCCAGCGAGTCTCTCTCTATCCTGAAGTCGCCCTGAATGCATCCTGATCTGATGAACCGCCTCAGCTGGTTCTGGTCGACATGAAGAAGCAGCGTCTCTTTTCTGAGGTCTGAGCTCCTCACCCTGTCTTCAAGGCCAAGCCCTGCCACAAAGCAGAAGAAACTGAACTTAGTCGGTTGTGGTCTCCTTGTTTCACGATCACAGGTGAGAGCTGGACCGTGGGTTGGCGGTAAATCAAGAGCCTTCTGGTTCAGCTCCTTCTTCATAACGACAAACCTTCACGACGCCTGAATTACTGCTGACTCTGCTCTGATCCATCTGTCCAGCTTTACAAGATTCCCAGATCCTTACACTCCTTCACTTGGGGTAGAAAATCCCCCCAAACCAGAGGAAGCTGGGTCCTGGTTTTGCAGATCTTTGCCTCTGCAGGATTTGCTAATATGCACGAAACACAAACTCGAGCTGAGAACTCTAAAAGTTTTGGACAGATTTAAGGTTCGACCTGATGGTGGCGCTCTAGAGGGACAGTAAAGTTACTACAATTCAAATCTGACAAC